GAATAATGGATGTTATGAGATTAAATACTTGATTGTATAATTGTATAATGTTATTATTCCTGAGTTAATGAAATTAATTATAAACTTTTATAAACCCTGAACTTGAAATAATAATTAATTTGGATAATTAGAAATAATATTTAAAGTGGATGAAATTAAAAGATAATTAATGGACGAATATTAATATTAAGAATGATAATAAACTTAAAAAGATATTGGAATAAAATGGATGAAAGGTTTGATTCCCTTTCTAAAATAATTGAATCAGTAGTACTTTCTAAAATAATGAAACAACAGTCTTACCTTTGGAAAAGGACTATAAACTTTTTAAAAGAACTGTTAAGTCACTTTATCAGGTGGTTCTTGAGAAAACTGGAAACCACTGGTGACAATGTCCCTAATATCAGGCATATATCAGGTACCCAATAAGTGTAGAAAATATTTTTTTACACTTATCGGGTACCTGATATATATATAAAATATTTTTTACACCTATCAAGTACCCGATATATGTCTGATATTAGGGAAGTACTATGCACATATTGAATATTCGATATGTGTATTATTTATCAATTTTTGACCAATGGTAATTTTGCTATGATAAACTTCAAAGAATATTGTTAACAATGCAATATTGATTAAAATTGTTGTAATAAACTTATGAAAGATATTGTTGACAGTACAATGTCAATTAAAATTGCTGTGATAAACTTCAAAGAATATTGTTGACAGTACAATATCAATTAAAATTGTTACAATAAATTTTGAAGAGTATCGTTAACAGTATAATATTGATTAAAATTGTTGTGATAAACTTCGAAAGACATTGTTAACAATACAATGTCAATTAAAATTGTTGCGATAAACTTTGAAGGATATCATTAACAGTGTAATGTTAATTAAAATTGTTGCGATAAATTTTGAAGGATATTGTTGACAGTGTAATATCGATTAAAATTGTTGTGATAAATTTCGAAAGACATTGTTAACAATACAATGTCAATTAAAATTGTTGCAATAAACTTCGAAGGATATTGTTGACAATGTAATGTCAATTAAAAATTACAGTGATATAAATACAAGTGATGACCATTGAAATGATATATTATAAATATCTAATATAAACAAAGGTTATTGATATGAAATTACTACGAAAATAATAATATTTGTAAAATTTTACACATGAAGATATCAAAATTGATAACCTTCGAAGGTTATTGATACGAATTTACTACGAAAATAATAATATTCATAAAATTTCACACATGAAAATATTAAAATCAATAATCTTCGAAGGTTATCAATATGAATTTACTATGAAAACAATAATATTTGCAAAATTTTATCACATGAAAATATCAAAATTGATAACCTTTGAAAGTTAGCGAAGACCTTCGAAAGATAACATATCGAAAAATAATGAAATACTTACATTAACGTTAACTTTGAAGGTTTTCACTAGAAAAAATTTCCTGATGAATGAAGAATTATTTTTGAGCTTAATAAAATAACCATTTACTATTCTATTATGTGAGCATATATTTTATCACACATGTCTCAAAAAAAGTATTATCAAGATATAGAAATTTATCTTGCTAATAATTGTTTTAAATCTTTCAAATTGGAGTTTGAAGATATAGAAGTATCAAAACTATTACCTTTTTTATCCCAAGATAGTGTAAGCATCCCAATGCAAATTTTATCACAAATGGTATATGGTCAGAGCCAGAATTTAACAATTTCAGAAGTAATGATAATTTGTAACTCTAATCCTATTTATCACGACTTTCTTTATATTTAGACTATACAAAGCAAGCTCAAAAAAAATCTAGTATGGACATCTCAAAAGTTAAAAAAGTGAAAATTAAAGATGCCTCTTCAATGGTGATGAAACTTATCAAAGAACTATCTTCTGAAACATCACAAAAATCTGAAGTTATAGAAGTGAGTTCTAGTGATTTTTTTGATTTATATCATGTAATTATTATGATGGAAGAACAGGAAGTTAATACAAATCAAAATATTATTAAGTCATACTATAATTTTAGAAAAGCAATTAATGAACAATATGATTATTACAAGAAAAATAATCCTAAGTGAACAGCTCAGGCTTTGGTTAATAAAGAAGTTCAGAAACAACTTTCAAACTCTATTAGGATAACTTACTGAGAAAGAAAAAAGAATGGACTCTGGAAATTTATAACCTGTTTAGTGAAATTGATATAGAAATGATTCAAAAAATTAAATCTTTTACAGTATCATTAAGACAAGAAGATATCAATCATATATTGATTAAATTTGCAAAATAAATATTTACTGCGGTAGCCACGTGACGTTGTGAACTCTGTCTGTAGTAAATTCAAAACGCAATAAATAAAGTATCAAATTTTTTTCCATATCGGGTTTGTGAAATGTAAAGCGTAAAGCGTATATATTACATATTAAATTTTTTGGTAAAATTTTATTACGGGACTATACATGAATAATTTATGTGTGACGATCATAACCTTTAAAATTGTTTTTATTAGCAGCGTCTTCGACACATAATCAGATCACTCCTTTTTTGGTTCTTCTTTCATTGGGATTTTTAAATATCCGAATACATAGGATATTTGTCTTTCCAATTTATCAACTTTATGATCAATTTGATCTAATTTCTAGATTGAATGAGAAGTTTAGCATTAGTAACTATGTACTTGTATTAGGAATGATCATTGTCATC